ACAATAGTATCTATGTACTAGGTTGTACAAATCAAGTAAAACAGGACCTGTAAAGCAGTCAAAACAATGCCTGCATGGTAAACTTAGCCCTTCTTACTTCTGCAGAGAAATTGCCATGGCTGGTTTGGCTTCTAAATTCGAAGGCTTCACCCATCACATTCTCTGGAAGCAGAGAGGCTGTCAGCCAGCCAAAGTCTCCACAAAAAGATCAACAGGTCTCCTTTCTCCTAACCAGGGCTAGCCTAGAAACCTGGAGTCTCCCACCTGTACTGAGGCCCGGCGGTTTTGGCCTTGGGATTCCTAACTCTCCCAGAGCTGTCACTGAGCCCCAGCAAACCACTCACCGCGCTCGGGCCCCGGAGTGCCGGCCTTCGGAGGCCCAGGCCTGGCTGTCTGTGATCGCCGGTCCGGAGTTGGCCGCCCCGGGGTCCCCTCGCTAGCAGACTCTACCCCACGACCCGGGTGTGGCTCCCCCGGGTTCGCGGAGTCGTCTTCCCATCTAGTCAAGAAGCGCGGCTGCCGGCGCCCGGGCGGCGAGGGCGCGCTCGGCGGCGCCCGGGCCTCCCCCGCGGCCCGGAGCCCGGCCCCAGCCCCGAGCCCACGCAGGCTGGAGCCCAGGCGCCCTTCCTTTCCCGGGGCACGCGAAGGCAACACGCGGGGGCTGCGAGCGGGCGCAGGGGCCCTCCGGAGCCGGCTCGGACGCCGGCGCCCCGCGCGGCCCTGGTCCGGCCCCAAACTGGCGTGAGGTACTCAGGCCAGGCTTGGGTCCTCAGACCTACCTGGAGGGGACTCAGACATCTCGCACAGGCCAGCGGCGGCTCCTCACCGAGGCCCCCGCCACCGCGCCCCGGTGCGATTACCTTCAATCGCCCTGCTTCCTCACTTACCCATCGCGGCTCCGCTCGCTGGGACTCGGCGGCGGCGGCGGCGACAGCTTCAGCGGTAGCTCCAGCAGACAATATGGCGGATCCGAAGAACGGGAGCCTCAAAGGGACAAACAGCCCACCTGGTACGAAACGCGTTCTCACCCCCCTCCCAGATACTCCGCCCAGAGCACGCCCGAGGCGCGCGCTTAAAGAGACAGCCTGTATAGGGGAAGAGCAAGGTTGGGCGGAGGTGGTTCTCACCTATAACTACTCCCTGGAAGTAGACCTCTGAGGCCTCCGTGAGCGGAAAAAGCCAAGTAAAAGCACAAGGCTTCTGGGCGCTTGGAGGCTCACGCCTGTAACCGTAGCTACTTAGGAGGCTGAGATCTGAGGATCACGGTTCGAAGCCAGCCTCGGCAAAAAAATCCCAGTGAGACTCTTATCTCCAATTAATCAACAGAAAACCAGATGTGGAGCTGTGGCTTCTGGACAGGGCCCAGGCCCGAGCTCAAGCCCCAGTACTCAGCATAAAAAGGAAAAGCAAACAAAACATGGTTGAAGGGGAAAATGGAATGGACACCTTAGCACATGGACTTCTCAGCTGTCTCAGCTACTTCCTCCGGAGAGCCCTCGTTCCTCAGAAATGTACTCCTTTCATAACTAAAGCCTATCACACACTGTGTGAATGTAAATAATAACCTGAAAGGGGAAGTAACTTGCTCAAAGCTAGAGATAAGGGAAGAAGACAACCGAGGTTTGTTGTTGTTTATTGGTTGATCTTGGGGCTTAAATTTGGCCTGGGTGCTGTCACTGAGCTCTTCAGTTCAGGTAGAGTGCTCTACCACTTGAGTCACAGAGCCACTTCTAGTTTTCTGGTGTTTATTTGTCGGTTGTGAGGCCTGAACTCAGGGCCTGGGCACTGTCTGTCAGCTCTTCAGCTCAAGGCTAGCGCTCCAGCACCTGAGCCGCAGCGCCACTTCCAGCTTTTTCTGCTTATGTGGTGCTGAGGAATCAAACCCAGGCCTAATGAATGCAAGGCAAGCACTCTACCACTGAGCCACCTTCCCAGCCCCTCTGATGGTTTATTGGAGGTAAGAGTCTCACAGGCTTTCCTGTCCAGGCTGGCTTTGAACCACAATCTTCAGATTTCAGCCCCCTGAGTAGCTAGGATTACAGGCATGAGCCACCAGCTTCTAGATTTTTTTTTTTCTTTTCTTTTTTTGTGGTGGGACCTGAACTCTGGGTCTGGGCACTGCCCCTCAGCTCTTCAGCTCAAGGCAAGCACTCCACCACTTGAGCCACAAAATCACTTCTGGCTTTTTCTGCTTATGTGATGCTGAGGAATCGAATCCAGCGCCTCATGCATTCAAAGCAAGCAAGAATGCTTGCCACCTTGCCACTGAACCACCTTTCCAGCCCCTTGTTGTGTTTTGTTGTTTTTTTTGTTTTTGTCCTGGGGCTTGAACTTAGGGCTTGGGGGCTCTCCCTGAGTCTCTCTACTCTCAAGGCTGAGCCACAGCACCACTTCTGGCTTTTTCTGAGTAGTTTATTGGAGGTTCCAAGTCTCACAGACTTTCCTACTCTTAGAACCGTGATCCTCGGATCTCAGCCTCTTGAGTAGCTAGGGTTGCAGGCGTGAGCCATCAGTACGAGGCTTAACCTAGGTTTTCTGCTTGGATCTACCTCCAAAACCCTAGGGGAGACTGCAATGATTTTTTTTTTCCATTTTCCAAGCCCCAAACAGGGTCTATGTATTTATTCTGAATTTCTTTTGCAACGCCTGGTGCAGGTGGAGCTAGCTACTCAGGAGGCTGAGATCTGAGGATCGAAGTTCAAAGCCAGCCCAGGCAGGAAAGTCTGTGAGACTCTTTATCTCCAATTAACCACCAGAAAACTGGAAGTGACACTGTGACTCAGTGGTAAATCACTTGCCTTGAGCTTAAGAGCTCAGGGATAGTGTCCAGGATCAGAGTTCAAGCCCCATGACCAACCAAAAAAACCAAAAAGATTGTTTTGCCTTAGTCTTTCAAATGCTGGGACTATAGGTATGCAACATCACCACTCACTACTCCTCCTATGTCCTTGAAAGTAGAAACCTTAAATCTATAACCCTTCTATTCAGGATGCTGAGATTTGAGGATCTCTAAGCCAGCCTGGGCAGGAAAGTCTGAGACTCTTCTTTTTTTGTCGGTTGTGGGGCTTGAACTCTGGGTCTGGGTGCTGTACCTCGGCAATTCAGCTCAAGGCAAACACTCTACCACTTGAGCTACAGAGTCACTTCTGGTTTTCTGGTGGTTTATTGGAGATAAGAGTTTTATGGACTTTCCTGCCTGGGCTGGCTTTGAACCTTGATCCTCATATCTCAGCCTCCTGAATAGCTAGGATTACAGGTGTGAGCCACTCGTGCCTGGCTGAGACTCTTCTAACCACCAAAAGCTAGAAGTGGAGCTATGGTTCAAGTGGTACATCACTAACCTGGAGTGAAAAAAGCTCAGGGACAGCAGCCAAGCTCTGAGTTCAAGCCCCAGGAATGGTGTTCACACAGAGAAGTAAAAACCTTTTAGTATCACTCTTTTACTGAGCAACTTCCCATAGCCTGCTCTTAGTTAATGCCCCAACATTTTAATCATTTTCAAAAAATGGTTCTTAGTAGCTTCTTGGGCCTCTTTCCACTGGGCAATCCAAGCTAGGACCATATTTGGGGAACCACTTTTTCCAATAATGCTCCTGTCTTGTGTCTTTACATGCTAATTTTGATTGGAATGAAGTATTTTTCCTATCTCCCTGGGCATGTGGTGAACTATATACTCCTCCCCACCCCTTTGGTGTCAATCCTGGGGCTTGAACTCAGGTGCTATCCCTGAGGTTCTTTTTTTTTTCCCCTTAAGGCTAGTGCCCTACCACTTGAGCGACAGTTCCACTTCTGGTTTTTTGGTGGTTAATAGGAAAGGAGACTTAAGGACTTTCCTGTTTGGGCAGGCTCTTTGAACTGCAGTCCTCAGCTCTCAGCCTCCTGAGTAGCTAGGATTATAGGCATTAGTCACTGGCACCCCACTGGATTGTCTTTTAAATGAATAATTCATGTCTTACTCTAATTGTCTAATAAGGAATGTCTATTTCTCCATGTCCTCTAAGGAAGGGATAGAATCTTTCTTATCTTTGCAATTATCCCAGTGTTTAGCACAGTGCTTGCCTAGAGGTACTGACCTAAACCACATGGAAGTGATTCATCCATCATTGAGCTTATCTCTGTGGCCTGCAATCATTAGGGGATCAAAAAATGTAAAGTGAATGGCTGACTCCTTTCTTTTCTGCTGTCTGTGAGCTCTCCATCCTCGGCCTACAGGAGCCTAGATGACCCTCCAAGTAGCTTTGTTTCCCATTTACATTCCCTCCCTAAAATCATTGTCACCACACCTTCCAGCATTTGCTTTGTCATCCTCCCTCTTTTTTATCCTTCCTGCTTCTCCTCTCCAAATATACCATGTGGTAACACATGTGCCCTTTTCTCTCACTGGAATCTTTCTCTTCTTACCCCCCTATTGCCTGATTAATACACTTTGGGACGATCTTCTCCTCCAAGAAGCCCAGAGAGTATTAACATTCTCTCCCATTACTACTCTACCTTGTAACTAACTGTTCTGTACATCTGGTATAGAATTGCTCCTGTGTTTAGGCATCCACACTATCTACAAAGGTATCTGACACAAAGCAAGATTGCAATGTCTGCATGCTGAATCAAGACATCACATTCTAATAGGTCAGTAGTATCATCTTTCAGAGATACTCAGTTTTGGAATGGTAACATACTTTCTAGATGTAATATACTATAGTTCTTTAAGCTTCAGTTTGTCATCTGTAGGAGTGATGAAATACACCTTCTAGGGTCATCACAGAAGTCAGATAAACAAATCCTGAAATCTACCCAGAACAACAGGTGGTACGCAGTGAGCATTACTTAGCAGTAGTGATCACAGCTACCATGGCCTCTGATGTTTGATCTCCTGTTAATTGGAGAAGACAGAGCCCACAGAAGCCCCAACAGCTAAATGCAGAGCTTCCCAGCCCAGAATCCCATACCTCTTACTCTCTGGCTCACAAGCCAGAACAGGGAAAGAACCACAGGACACAGGCTTGTTGGGAGTATAAAAATAGGACTTTTCTTCTCTTATCACATCAATTATCAAAGAAAAAAAAAACAATATGTAACAAAAATACAAAGCTCTGGTTTTTTTTTGTTTTTTTTTTTGTTTTTTGTCTGTTTTTGTTTTTTTTTCTAACCCTCACCCAACCTGCCCCAACAGCCCCTTTGCCAGCAATCCCCTGGCTGAAGCCTGGAACTGTCCCTGGGATTCCCTGGGGCTCAGGAGAACCGGTGGTCCAGATCTCTCTGGGGGTTGGCAGAGTACGAGTAGGCTTTGCCCAATACCAGGCGGTCCCGCAGCAGCTTGAAGAAGGCATAGTAGTTGCTGAAAAGGATCAAGGCCAGGGAGATGGTCTGGTGCCACTTTTCAGAGGACATTAAGGAGTATAGCTGGTAGACAATGACCGCGCCCTCCAGCAGCAGGAGGATGTTGAGGATCCGCAGGGGTTTGCTGAAAAAGAACTACCCAGGAAAGGGTAGGCATGGACCAGAAGATATGCTCCAGAAAACTGCCTCTTCCATTGGGGGTTGGGTAGGCCAGAGGCCAGTGAAGGGGACAAGGATTTGGGGCCCCATGCAAACTTGGGAAGGAAGAAAGACTTTGCAGAGTCTGGAGGGGACTTTGCCACCTCCTTTATCTTTCCTCTGGGCAAAGGTGCTGCTTCTACACAAGGCATTAAGATACTGTTCAACTTCTATCTCCTCCAGAAAGACGTTCCTGAGAGATCTACTTGTGCTTTCAAACTCTTTTTCTGTACTAAAATCATCTTCTCTATATGTAATCCTTTTAGGTATCATTGGGCCTGAACATATTCAAATCTTTTTGTTTCTTGTAAGGCTAGGAATTGAACCTGGGGCCTTTTTTTTTTTTGGGGTCCAGTCGTGGCACCTGAACTCTGGGCCTAGGCACTATCCCTCAGCTCTTCAGCTCAAGGCTAGTGCTCTACCACTTGAGCCACAGAGCCACTTCCAGCTTTTTTCTTTTTGCTTATGTGGTGCTGAGGAATAGAACCCAGGGCCTCAGGCATGCAAGGCAAGCACTCTACCACTGAGCCATCTTCCCAGCCTGAACCTGGGGCCTTAATGTATAAGACAACTACTATTATATTTATTATATTATTGTATTGTTATATCCACTGCACAAATTACAATCTTATGGCATTGGCACAGAGATTTATTTATTTTGAAGTGCTGGAGATCAAAAGCATGTGAAGTCATTACAGACTCTACAGCTTGAGAACCTACTACTTCCCATATAGTATTCCCAACTAGACTGGACATTTTCAAGGTACTCTTTTGTGAGGTTTTAGAACAAGGTATAGTATAGAACTAAAGAAAAATGTTCTGCTAAGTTAAGAGTGCTAAATTTCTAGGGATCTCAGTTTTATAGAGGCCAAGTTTCCTAAACCTTAAGAACTGCTTAAGAGGATGGAAGGAGGGGTGGCAGAATATGTGATACTTCAAGAGACCAGGATGTTAGACTCAGCTCTGCACTAACATGGTACAAGACTCTGAGTAGGGGCTGGGAAGGTGGCTCAGTGGTAGAGCGCTTGCCTTGCATGCTTGAGGCCCTGGGTTCGATTCCTCAGCACCACATAAGCAAAAAAGAAAAAAGCCGGAAGTGGCGCTGTGACTCAAGTGGTAGAGCGCTAGCCTTGAGCTGAGGGACAGCGCCCAGGCCCAGAGTTCAGGCCCCACGACCGGACCCCCAAAAACAAAAACACAAAACTCTGAGTAGTCTCCTCCCTTTCTAGGCCTCAGATTTCTCAACTGCAAAATGAAGGTATGAGCCCAGATCAGTGATTTCTCAAAGTGTGATCCTTTGAGCTCCAGGTACCACGTGGTCCCTTAGGAGCATCACTGAGGTGAGTGGGAAGTAAAGGGACTTCCCACCCTGTCAAGTGGAGCAGTACCATGAACGGGGCCGGGGGGGGGGGGGGGGAACGGGAAGATGTGAGGGGTGTTTTGATATAAATAAAATGGAGGCAGACTAGTAAGTAAGTAGGCCAGTTGGTTTTGCACAGCCCTTTACCATAGTGCTGAGTCTTATGTTGTTACCATTAGTCCCCAGCTTTCCTAACAAGACACCTTTGAATAAGTTAAACTTTGTAAGCCAGTTGCAAAAAACAGAGACAGTTCTATTTCCCTCATGCACAAGTTCTAGGGGAGAAAAGTATATTGGAAGTGCTTAGCACAATGCCTGGCACACAGCAAGGAAAGATGATTATTATTTTCACCACCATGAGCTTCCATCCAGTATTCTGAAAGATCCATTACTAAGTGAGCCTTAGTGAAGCTGTCCTGTGCTGGATGTGGGCACTGTCTTCCTTACAGTTTGAGAAATAAGGCAAATAGCTTATCTTGAGGTGACATCATCTTCTGCTGACCCCACCTGCCCTTCCCACCCTCTTTGTCAGGGATGGAGACTCACATGGAACCGGAAGTGGGAGACATCAGAAGGGATGGCCACATTGTAGTGGCCCACTGCTTTGTAGACATTCTTGCTATGCTTCACCAGCACACCCTGAGGCCACATACACTCTTCAGTCCACCTGGAGGCACAGTTGAAGAGGAGCCTTTATATCGAGATCACACATGAAAAGGCATACCAGAAGATTGGGCATAGGGTGATCACCAGTGGTCTACTTTCATTTATATTGCTTAATATACAGTAATTTTCCTTTGCTACCTCCCTTGCATGATGGGATAAGAACAGAGAAATTCACAGTACTAGGAATCAAAAAGTCTAAGGCTGAAAGACTATCAAGAAAACACTTAGGGCCAGGCGCTGGTGGCTCACGCCTTTAATCCTAGCTACTCAGGAGGCTGAGATCTGAGAATCAAGGTTCAAAGCCAGCCCGGGCAGGAAAGTCCATGAAACTCTTATCTCCAATAAACCACCAGAAAACCAGAAGTGGTGCTGTAACTCAAGTGGTAGAGTGCTAGCCTTGAGCTGAAGAGCTGAGGGACAGCGCTCAAGCCCAGAGTTCAAGCCCCACGACTGACAAAAAAAAAAGAAAAGAAAACACTTAGGGACTGAGAATGTGGCTTAGTGGTGGAATACTTGCCTAGCATGCATAAAACCCTGGGTTTGATTCCTCAGTACCACATAAACATAAAAAGCTGGCAGTGGCACTGTGGCTCAAGCAGTAGAATGCTAGCCTTGAGCAAAAGCTCAGGGGCAGTGCCCAGGCCCTGAGTTCAAGCCCTAGGACTGGCAAAAAAAAAAAAAGAAAGAAAGAAAAAAAAAGAAGGAAAACAAAACACTTTTAGCTGGGTGCTGGTGGCTCATGGCTGTAATCCTAGCTTCTTAGGAGGTTGAGATCTGAGGATCATGGTTGAAAGCCAGCCTGGGCAGTAAGGTCCATGAGATTTATTTCCAATTAAATATAAAAAAGCCATTAGTATAGATGTGGCTCAAGTGGTAGAGCACTAGCCTTGAGCACAAATGTTCAGCAACAGTACCCAGGCCCAGAGTTCAAGCCCCAGGACTGGGAAAAGGACAAAGAAAGGAAGAAAAGGAAGAAAGGAGGGAGGAAGGAAATTCTTTACCCTCTCTGGATGCATTTACTTCATCTGGTCTCATCTCTAACCTCAAATCTGTCTGTGACACAGCTGCCAGGGTGGTTGCATAAGATAGTAGGCTGAATTTGACTATGCTCTGCTTAAAATGGACTGAAGGATCTCTAGTATCTCTGGATTTGGCAAGGCCTCTGAGGTCCTGCATGGCCTCCCATGATGCCTACCATATAGCTCATGCACAGGCTTGGGGACCTGTTCAGTTTCTCCAGCATACTGTACTGGTCATTCTCTGCATAAGCTGCCCCTTCAACTGGACTGACCTTCCTGATGCCTTATTCTCTGGCAAGCTCTTAAAGAGCTTCCGGTCTAATGAAGGAGAAAAATTATTACAGGCAGAAAAATTAGTCTAACCGGGGGCAAAGAATACTTTGATGAAGAGCTGCAGAAATTTTAGGCATCAAAAAGGAATGCCCAATCTGAAGGAAGGATAGCCCAGGACCCCAGGGTTCCTGAGCACAGTGACTTCCACTCTAGGTACAGTATTAGCTGGCAGCTAGGCTTCTTTTGCTTCATTCATCCTATTTGTGAACATGGCTATTACCCCCACTAGCTGAATTTCTCATCGGTGATTTCCTCTCTGTGGCCTTCCTTCCCTGGGCAGGGTTCATTATCAACCAATTAGAGCATGATATCCAGGCACAGATCAGTGTTTCTAAAATACATCTGGTGTATACCCTCCATAGTTCAAAGTCCTTTAACGTTCTCCTCAGGCTATAGGTCAAAGTGCCAGCTCCTCTATCTAATACACAGTACTAATCCTGGGATGGACTACATCGAAACAAAGGTCTCCTGAAAGAGCAGGTGATCTAATGGCTAAGTGGATGAATTGGCAGGAAAGAGAAGAATGAAGCAGTGAAAAAATGAATGCATGTGGGGCTGGGAAGGTAGCTCAGTGGTAGAGCACTTGCCTTGCATGCATGAAGCCCTGGGTTTGACTCCTCAGCACCACATAAGCAAAAAGAAAAAAAAGCTAGAAGTGGCGCTGTGGTCAAGTGGTAGAGCGCTAGCCTTGAGCTGAAGAGCTGAGGGACAGCGCCCAGGCCCAGAGTTCAGGCCCCACGACCGGACCCCCCCCAAAAAAATAGAATGCATGTATAAGGAAATGAGTCACCAGGTGAATAAATGACTCAGTGAATGCAGAGGTTTGTCACTGTCTTTCCTCCTGTTCCAGTACACTGCAAGCTTCCCAAGGATATAGAATAGGTTTGTCTTGGGCCCTAGCACATCACACTCTGGAAACAAGGTCTAATATACAAGACAAAATCAATAAACTATTCACTGGCTAACTGAATGAGTTAATGAGCAAGAAGGGCAAGTGATTCCAGACACTGACAAAAGACGGGGCAGGGATTGGTTGGTCAGAAGAGGGTGGCAACTCACGGGTGCTGTAGCACATTGGAGCACAGGGCTGGATCCACTTTCTGCCAGCAGCCAAGATGGGCAGCAGCCTTATGCAGCAGGTCACAGTAGCTGGCAGGCAGCAGGTGCTGCATGAGAATCACTGAGGTGCTGATGGACACCAGCAGAAAGAGCTCACAGGACCAACGCTTGTCATAGTAATGTGTATTCTGGGAACAGTAGAAGGTAGGTCAGATTCATAACGCCCATAATGGCCTCATTCCCTTTCCTTTCCCCAATTCTAACCTGCCTCAGAAATTAGGACAGTTCTAGAAAGACTTCAAGACAGAAACTAAGAATCAAACACATGGCTGGGAATGTGGCTTAGTGGTAGTGATTGCCTCTTTCCTGCTTGGGTTGGCTTTGAACCACGATCCTCAGAACTTAGCCTCTTGAGTATCTAGGATTACAGGTGTGAGCCACCAGCATCTGGCTTGAAGTAATGTTTTGAGTCTACTGCATCTGACATACACTTGGGGAATCTATAACAAGAAAGAATACATGAGCCTGGATTGTGGCTTAGTGGATTGAGTACTTGCCTAGCATGAATGGGTTCGATTCCTCAGTACCACATAAACAGAAAAAGCCAGAAGTGGCACTTTGGCTCAAGTGGTTGAGTGCTGCTAGCCTTGAGCAAAAGCAGCTCAGGGATGGCACCCAGGCCCTTAGTTCAAGCCCAGGACTGGCAAAAAAAAAGAATGCAGGCTTTTTGTTTTTGTCCGTCATGGGGCTTGAACTTGAAGCCTGGGCGCTGTCCCTGGGCTATCACTTGAGCTACAAGGCCAATTCTAGTTTTTCTGAGTAGTTTATTGGAGATACAGATTTTCCTATCTGGCTGGCTTTGAACTGTGATCCTCAAATCTTAGCCTCCTGAGTAGTCAAGATTACAATTGTGAGCCACCACTGCCTGGCTAGAATACAGTTGTTGTTTGTTGTTGTTGTTGTTGTTGTTTGCCAGTCCTGGGGCTTGAACTCTGGGCCTGGGCACTGTCTTTGAGCTTCTTTTGCTAAAGGCCAGAACTCTACCACTTGAGCCATAGTACCCCTTCTGGATTTTTCTGTTTATATGGTAGAGGAATTGAACCCAGGTCTTCATGCATGCGAGGCAAGCACTCTAACACTAAGCCACATTCCCAGCCCCATAGAATACAGGTTTTTTTTAAGTCGTTCAGATCTGGATAACTGCTGGCTTCCCTACTTAATGACCAAGTAAAATACTATGCTATATCTGTGCTAAAGCAGCCACTGGGATAAAAAATAAAGTTACTGTTCTTTGTTATCAAGTATTAAGAATAAAAACACTAAGCTGGGTGCCGGTGGCTCACGCATGTAATCCTAGCTACTCAGGAGGCTGAGATCTGAAGATCAAGGTTCAAAGCCAGCCCAGGCAGGAAAGGCCATGAGACACTTATCTCCAATAAACCATCAGAAAACTGGAAGTGGTGCTAAAGCTCAAGTAGCAGAGTACTAGCCTTGAGCTGAAGCATTGAAGGACAGCACCCAGGCCCAGAGTTCAAGCCCCATGACCAAAAAAAAAAAAAAAAAAAGAATAAAAACAGTAGCTGGGTACTGGTAACTCATGCTACTGAGGAAGTTGAGATCTGAGGATCTTGGTTCAAAGTCAAACTGGACAGAAAAGTCCATGAGATTCTTAGCTTTAACCAGCGAAGTACCAGATTGGAGATGTGGTCCAAGTGGTAAAGCACCAGCAGCAGCAAAAAAGCTGAGTAAGAGTATACATCTCAAGTTCAAACCCTGGTACCAGCACCAAAAATAAACAAAACAAAACAACAACCGCATAACAACCAGTTTTCCTTGTGATTGGATGACCTTGGGAAGTTCACTTTGTTTCAGAGAATCTTCTTTTTTTTTTTTTTTGGGGGGGGGGGGTCCGGTCATGGGCCTGAACTCTGGGCCTGGGCACTGTCCCTCAGCTCTTCAACTCAAGGCTAGCGCTCCACCACGTGAGCCATAGCACCACTTCCAGCTTTTTTTTCTGCTTATGTGGTGCTGAGGAATCGAACCCAGGGCCTCATGCATGCAAGGCAAGCGCTCTACCACTGAGCCACCTTCCCAGCCCTTCTTCTCTGCATTCTAAAATGAAGATAGTAGCAGGGTGCTAGATGCTCACACTTGTAATCCTAGCTGCTCAGGATGCTGAGATCTGAAGATCACAGTTGAAAACCAGCTAGGGGAAGGAAAATCCAAAAGCCTAGAAGTGGATCTGTAGCTTAAGTGGTAGAGTGCTAGCCTTGAGCAAAAGAAAAAAGCCCAGGTCCTGAGTTCAAGCCTTAGTATCAGCCCAAAAAACAAAACAAAAAAAAAAACCCAGAAAACTAAAATGGAGTCAGTAGTCATTCCAGGTGTCTAGAAAAGAACTGATAGGATATCCCATAAAAACAGCAGGAAGCAGGAAGGCTTATGTGGGGCAAGCAGCAGGCTAAGGTCTAGGCCAGGCCCTCTCTCTTTTTGGGCTACATACCTTCACAAACCAGACAGGCACAAAGGCCACGTAATAGGCACTTAGCATGGAGCTAACCAGCACTTCCTTCATGCGCCAATTGAAGTCCATCTTGAGGAATTCCACTTCATTGCGAATGAGGCTAGGTGACAGGCAGCAGGCATGGGTGGGCATGGCTTCTGGGCCATAGAGCTGTCGGGTGTGCTGCTTCCATGTTTCACGCAGCGTCAGCAAGTAGTCTCGACTCCTCGCCAAGCCACTGACAGCCTCCCGTGGCCCCATAGAGGCCATGTGATTGAAGAGGTTTGTCTTGCGAAAATCATAGTTCAGCTGCAGAAATGGAATGTACATCCCGAACCTGCTGGGGAAGATGGTGTTGAGGACAGGCCTGACCACAGGCTAGGATCCCAACCCTCAGCTCCAGAGGAGACTATGCTTTTCCTTCTGGGCTATAGTCCTTCTGGATGGTCCATCCAGCTTCCCAGACAATGGCTACTCAACACGTTTTAGCATTGGACTGTGCTAAGGAGCAAGAGATGTATCCCAGCCTCCATGGTCTACTGACAACAAAAAATTATCATAATGGCCCACAATCAGTAGGCACAGTCTGTTTCAGGCACTACACTAAATTCTTTATACATATCCTCTTTTTTTTTCTTTTTTGTAAGTACAATGTACATTAGGTATTGTTATTTTGTCCCTTTTCAGCCAAGGAAGCTGTGGCTCAGAGATATAGTAAGTTACCACCCAAAGTTTACACAAATAGTAAAAAAGTAATAGAACTAGAGGCTGGGAACTGGTGGCTCACACCTACAATCTTAGCTACTCAGACAGCTGAAATCTGAGGACTACAATTTGGAGCCAGCCTGAACAGTCAAATTGGGAAGACTCATCTCTAATTAACCAGCAAAAAGCCAGCAGTGGAGGTGTGGCTCAAATGGTAGAGTGCAAGCCAACTGTAAGCAAAACAGCAGCAAGAGCCTGAGGCTCTGAGTTCAAATCTCAGTACTGGCACAAAAAAGAAAAAGAAATACAGTCAGGGGTCAGACACAACTCTGTGCAGTATCAAAGATCAAGACAAACACTAAAAAATCACTAGTAGTAATTAACAGAATACACAGTACCACCAAATTAAGAGGAATAAGTTGTGCTTTTGAGTGTATACTTGAGAAGCAGATGTTTAGTATGTAGAGAAGAGCAGTTCAGAAACAAATTTTGAACTTTAATAGCACTGAAATGAACCCCTATACAGTACATATCCCTCCCCCTTCAGGGAAGGCTGCAGCTAATAGCAAGGGGTTTTTTGAATGTGTGGTTAGTACAATAAGAAGAGAAAGCTAAATGGACCCATAGCTTGGAAGAATATGGTCAGTCCTCCCAGTATCTGAATTCTACATTGGCAGATTCAACCAATCACCAAATGAAAGTATCTAGGTCAGGCATGGTGGCTATGGAGAAGCTGAGATTTGGGGAAACAATTTGAAGCCAGAACAGACAAAAAGGTAGCAAGATTTCATCTCAACCAATAAGCTGGGCATAGTGGTAAATGAGTATCATCCCAACCACAGAGGGGTATAAAACAGGAAGACAGAGGTCTAGGTTGATCTCAGAAGAAATAAAAATAACCAAAGCAAAAAGGGCTGGGAACACAGCTAAGTGGTAAAGTGCCTGCCTAGCAAGTACAAGGCCCTGAGTGCAAATTCCTGTACTGCCAAAAAAGAAAAAAATCCAGAAATTTATTTTCTGACCTTTACTATTTCTTTTCTATCTCTGAACATCAACAGACTTTTTCTATAGCATTATTCTCTAGAGTACAGCAACTTTTCACACAGAATTTACCTTGCATTAGATATTAAAAGCAATCTTTGTGGTTGTTGTTGCTGTTGGGCTTGGGACTTAAAACAGGACCTGAGTGCTGTCCCTGAGCTTTTTGGCTCAAGGCTAGCGCTCTACCACTTGGAGCCACATTGCCACTTTCATTTATCTGATGGTTAATTGGAGATAAGAGTCTCACAAATTTTCCTGCCCAGGCTGGCTTTGAACTGCAATCCTCAGATCTCAGCCTCCTGAGTAGCTAGGATTACAAGCATGAGCCACCAGCTTAAAAGCAATCTAAAAATAAAAACAGAAAGAAATGTATACACAATATCAAGTACACAGGAACATGTGTGTAGGTAATTTGCATATATCATGGTATCTCATATGACAGACCTAAGCAGACTTGGGACTTTGTCATCAAAATATATGGGGTGGGGCTGGGAAGGTGGTTCAGTGGTAGAGCGCTTACCTTGCATGCTCAAGGCCCTGGGTTTGATTCCTCAGCACCACATAAGCAAAAAGAAAAAAGTCAGAAGTGGTGCTGTGGCTCAGTTGGTAGAGCGCTAGCCTTGAGCTGAAGAGCTGAGAGAAAGCTCCCAGGGCCTGAACTCTGGACCCCCCCCCCAAAAAAAAACCAAAACAAAACATATAGGGTATCCTAGACCAATGCCTTTTAAGATACAGAAGAAGGACTATGATGATAAAAAGTATAGGGCTAGGAATGTGGCTTAGTGGTAGAGTACTCACCTACCATGCATGAAGCCCTGGGTTCAATTCCTCAGTACTACATAAACAGAAAAAGCCAAAGTGGCGCTGTGGCTTAAGTGGTAGAGTGCTAGCCTTGAGCAAAAGAGCCTCAGAGACAGTGCCCAGGCCAAGTTCAAGCCCCAGGACTGGCAAAAAAAAAAGTGGGCCCAGCCAGGCACTGGTAGCTCATGCCTGTAATCCTAGCTATTCAGGAAGCTGAGATCTGAGAATCATAGTTCAAAGCCAGCCCAAGCAGGAAAGTCCGTGAGACTCTTATCTCAGATTAGTCACCATAAAAACTGGAAATAAAGATGTGGCTCAAGTGGTAGAGTGCTAGCTTTGAGCAAAGAAGCTCAGGGACAGCAACCAGACCCTGCTTTCAATTCTCATGACTGAGGGCTGGGAAGGTGGCTCAGTGGTAGAGCACTTGCCTTGCATGCCTGAGGCCCTGGGTTCGATTCCTCAGCACCACATAAGCAAAAAGTAAAAAAAGCCGGAAGTGGCGCTGTGTCTCAAGTGGTAAAGCGCTAGCCTTGAGCTGAAGAGCTGAGGGACAGCGCCCAGGCCCAGAGTTCAGGCCCCACGACCGGACCCCCCAAAAAAAAACCAAAACCAAAATCAAACCTCATGACTGGCATAAATAAAAAAAGTGGGCATATCATAGTAGGTATTTACAAGTATTCTCCCCTCCCTTATTTTAACTTGGGGTTACCCATTTTCTCTGGGTGTCTAGAATTATATAGACCCCAAAAGGGTCCCTGGGCTGTACCCAGGTTAGGGCCAGATTCTAAGATTATCATTTGAGCTACATCTATACCCATTTATGTTATTTTTCAAATAGGGTTAACATTTATGTCCAGGCTAGCCTGGATCATAATCCTATTTACATTTCCCAGGTAACTGGAATATCAGTTTGAATATTGGATATTGAATATTGGATATTGTTTGAAATAAAAATCTCATGGACTTTTTACCTGGGCTGCCCTTGAACTTCAATTTTCTTGATCTCTGCCTCCCAGGTAACTAGGATTACAGATGTAAGATGCTGCACCCAATTCAATGACATTGCTTTTCTTTTTTTTTTGGGTCCAGTCGTGGGGCCTGTACTCTGGGCCTGGGTGCTGTCCCTCAGCTCTTCAGCTCAAGGCTAGCCCTCTACCACTTGAGCCACAGCACCACTTCTGACTTTTTTCTTTTTGCTTATGTGGTGCTGAGGAATCGAACCCAGGGCCTTGAGCATGCAAGGCAAGCGCTCTACCACTGAGCCACCTTCCCAGCCCCTTGCTTTTCTTTTTTTTTGGGTCCGGTCGTGGGGCCTGAACTCTGGGCCTGGGCACTGTCCCTCAGCTCTTCAGTTCAAGGCTAGCGCTCTACCACTTGAGCCACAGCGCCACTTCCGGCTTTTTTCTTATGTGGTGCTGAGGAATTGAACCCAGGGCCTTGAGCATGCAAGGCAAGCGCTCTACCACTGAGTCACCTTCCCAGCCCTTGCTTTTCTTTTTTTTAAGTTAATTTACTTTATTGTAATTATAGAGGTTACGTACAGAGGGCTTACAATTACATGAATCAGGTAATGAGTACATTTCCTTTCATATAGTGTTCTCTGTTCCCTCATTCTCTCCCAGTCCCTCCCTCCTCTCTCTACCCACAAGTTGTATAGTCCACTTTCATCAATGTGAGCTCCACTGCTGCACTTTTTCACTTTTCAATTACTTATTTATTTCCATCCTGGGGCTTGAATTCAGGGCCTACATGCTGTCTCTGAGCCTAGGAAGGCTAGCATTCTACCACTTGAGGCACAGCGCCACTTCTGGCTTTAGTTTGTTGGAGAAAAGAGTCTGAGAGGGACTTCTCTAGACTTCAAACTGTGATACTTAGATCTCAGCCTCCCGAGTAGCTAGGATTACAGATGTGAGCCAACAGTTCCCAGCTCAATGATATTTCTTAATAACGTTTTATTGTTTTCTGGTATGCTGAGAAGTGATAGATTTTTGGGGGGAAGTAAGTTACACTGGGCTTTTGTTTTCCACTCTATAAAACAGGAATGCTGGGGTTGGGAATGTGGCTTACTGGTAGAGTGCTTGCTTAGCATGCATGAAGCCTTGGGTTCTATTCCTCAGAACCACATAAACAGAAAAAGCTGGAAGTGGTGCTGTGTCTCAAGTAATAGAACACAAGCCTTGAGCATAGAGAGGATCAAGGACACTTCCCACTTCTTGGAGTTCAAGCTCCAGGACCAGAGAAGAAGAAAAAGAAAAAGAAAAACACGAACAGAAATGCTACCATCTTCCCTGGAAGTTAAGGAAGATATTTTGCTGGGCACTACAGGCTCATTCTTGTAATCCTAGCTACTTAGGAGGCTAAGATTTGAGGGTCATAATTTAAAGCCATTCTGGGCAGGAAAGTCCATGAGACTCTTATTTCCAATTAACCCCCAAAAAGCTAGAAGTGGAAATTATGGCTTAACTGGTAGAGGCACCAGCCTTGAACCAAAAAAACTAAGGGATAGCTGGGCTCTGGTGGCTTATGCCTGTAATTCTAGCTATGCAGAAGCTGAGATCTGAGGATCGTGGTTCAAAGACCGCCCAGACAGGGGCCGGGTGCTGGTGGCTCACGCCTGTAATCCTAGCTACTCAGGAGGCTGAGATCTGAAGATCGCGGTTCAAAGCCAGCCCGGGCAGGAGAGACCGTGAGACTCCTATCACCAATAAACCACCAGAAAACCGGAAGTGGCGCTGTAGCTCAAGTGGTAGAGCGCTCGCCTTGAGCTGAAGAGCTGAGGGACAGCGCCCA